CAGTCAGTCACTTAGCTGACCTAATACATTCAGTACTTGCCTAGTACCGATTGTGGATGGAAATCGTGGTGTCTAATATCAATAATCAAACTCAACTTCTATGTGTTGAATGCCAATCTGATATATCGAAAATTACTTGTAAATTGGTGAGATTCCATCAATACCAAAGCAGGCTAATTAAACTCCCCTGGTGAATGTGTCTACTATCGATGTAAAACATAAATATCTATTGGACAATTATCCGAGAATTCAAAATAAATCAGACTTCCATAGCTACTCTGTCTAAAATCAATCAAATGTAAAAAAAAACTTTATTTTCGTTATTACAGGGATAGTGCAGTGAAAATAAAATCCATCGAATATATCTTATTCCTATCTTTTACATTTAACTCATCAAAAAACACCCAAAAATTAATTCCACCTAAGATAAAATATTTTACAGTAATATATATGTATGAAACGTCGGTGAATATTGCAAAATAATTCAAAACCAAAGCCAGACTTGACATTCTTTATGACTTTGTTGAATATAGTGAATTATTCTTTTACATCGATATTAGACTGCACTTAAGTTGAATTTCTTTGAATCTTACATTTTCCATTATTGAGTAATTAATTGTGTAGTAATTGTCCCATAATAAAAATGATTTCATCTCCATGTAAAACTAAATTGTTTACAATCATAACCCTGTCATTTTGTGTGATGTTACCAGGAAAACATACGCGATACTGTAGTAGCTACCGCTAAAATAGAAGATATTTGGAAGGAAGCATCACGTTCAGAAGCTAATCAATACATAGCAGCTTATTTTATGGGCACAGACAATGGTGTTTTTAGACTCTACCCAGGCGAACGATTAGATGTTCATTATGACCACACCACTAGACCTTGGTAAGTGATGACATGGTAACTGTTAGATGGGAATTATGATTGACAGGATAACAGTTAGATGCGAATTATGACAAACACCACAAGAGCTTGGTAAGTGATGACAGGGTAACTGTTAAATGGGAATTATGACAAACACCACAAGAGCTTGGTAAGTGATGACAGGGTAACTGTTAAATGGGAATTATGACAAACACCACAAGACCTTGGTAAGTGATGACAGGGTAACGGTCAGATAAGAATTATGACAAACACCACTATACCTTGGTAAGTGATGACAGGGTAACAGATAAAGAATTATGACAAACACCACTATACCTTGGTAAGTGGTGATATGTTAACTGTTAGATGAGAATTATGACCACACCACTAGAACTTGGTAAGTGATGCCATAGTAACTGTTAGATGGGAATTATGACCACACCACTAGACCTTGGTTGGTAAGTGATGACAGGGTAACAGTTAGATAAGAATTATGACCACACTACTAGATCTTGGGTAAGTGATGACAGGGTAACAGTTAGATGGGAATTCTGATGAAATGGTAACAGTTAGATGGGATATATGACCACGTCACTGGACCTTGGTAAGTGGTGACATGGTAACAGTTAGATGAGAATTATGACAAACACCAAAAGACCTTGGTAAGTGATGACAGGGTAAATGTTAGATGGGAATTATGACCACACAATTTAAACACACTTAGCATGTCAAATGCTCTAGTTGTATAACAACACGACGGTATCACAACAATGTGTCTGTTGAACCTAATATGCATGTTGTTGATTACCTGGAAATATAGGTACAAAAGAGTCAAGGGCAACGTGGGAAAGAACGTTCTATCAGTGCCGTATAAAGATGCATTTGGCAATGGGTACATCATCACATTAAGTCGTACAGTCACAGTGAAGTGAGTAGAATAAAATTTGTTTTTATACCACGTAACACGTGAGTTTACCAACACACAAAATTGTTTCATTATACTTGGCATAGTAGACACATCCAATGTTAAATCATCACGTAGTTATTTCATTGTAGTTGGCATAGAAGACATTTCCAATGATGAATGATCACATAGTTATTACATAAACGTTGGCATAGAAGACGTGTCCAATGTTAAATCATCACATAGTTATTACATTAACGTTGGCATAGAAGACGTGTCCAATGTTAAATCATCACATAGTTATTACATTAACATTGGCATAGAAGACGTGACCAATGTTAAATCATTACATAGTTATTACATTAACGTTGGCATTGAAGACGTGTCCAATGTTAAATCATCACATAGTTATTACAATAACGTTGGCATTGAAGACGTGTCCAATGTTAAATCATCACATAGTTATACATTAACGTGTCATTGA